GATATTTATGAAAGAAAAATCTAGACAAATATCGAAATAAAATTATTCAATTGGTTCAACCTTTAAAAAATAAAATCGTTTTTTTAATGCATTAAAAGAAAAGATATGAAAAATTTTTTTCTAAGAAAATTTCTTTGAAAAATCTTTGATTCTCTTGATCAAACCACACAAACCAAAAAACTAAATTAATTTTTATGATTTAAACACGGAAATCCTGAAAAATATTGTTGCAAATTTAATTATAGACATCACTTCAGCATATAATTAATTTTCATACGCCTTTTATTACTTATATTATAAAATAAATAATTAAAAAGTAAATGAGTAATACTACTTGTTATATGTTGCAACATAACAAATAGAAACAGACTTTAAAAACAATTTGTGTTACTATTACTGTATATAAGACAAAAAATAATCATCCTTGCGATCGAAGAAATTTGGATATTTTTTGCTAAAATTCACAAAAAATATTAAGTGAATCCCAGGAAATCCGTATTACCAAGATAAAGGAATATAACAAGAAATATAAGTTACAAGTTGTTCAAACTTTTAAAACTCTGAAAGAAGATTAACGAGGAGAATTTTATAACTTTAGTATTTCAATAACAAATACTGAAGCTATAAAGTAACCTCTCTAAGGGATATTTTCGAGTCGATTGAATTATATCTTAAATATACAGAAAGCGTTTACCAGGTCACAAGTCCTCCAAGAATTTTAAGAATAAATAAGTAAATAAACATAACTTAAATGTTTTTCCAAATTGAAATGATTAAAAATGAAATCATTTCAATTTTAAGAAATTTTATAAATACATTAATAATTAATTTAAATGCAGAAAAAACGAGTTTTTAAACAGAATTCCACTCATTCAAATAATGAAGATGATTCAGCTGCATTTAAGTGTACTAACAGCTGCTAAGGCTATTATGTAAGTCAAACGAGATATTAAAGATATCGTCGCCAAGCAGACTGCAATTTTTATTCACTGTTGCTATGGGAATATTCCACATCTTCCGCATAATAAAAATATATACATATATATAATTAATACGAAAAATCAATAATAAACATTAGTTAATTTGTATTCAGCAAAGTTGAGTTGTGATCAAAAATATTTACTTATTTAACTCTAAAATTAGAGGATTGTTATCGTTTACTGTTAAGAGTTTATCTTTTTAAAATATCTAAAATGCATTTTTAAATCAATATTTTTGTAATTTTCTTTTATTTATACCATTTAAAACTTAACATTTAAAAAATAATATAAATAAACGAAAGTTATTTTACAAATGTGACATTTTTTTTTTTTTTTTTTTTTTTGAAAATTGAGTATGTCGTTGAGAAAATATTCCATAAAATATAGAGAAAACTGACTGGAAAATAAAAAAAAATACGAGTTTTATAAATCTCCTGTAACATCTCTTTAATATTAATTACAGAATTGTTTTCGTTTTCTGCAGCACCCACTTTGAATTATTGAGAACTTCATGTCTGGTGATAAATAAGGCATTGTGTTCGGTACTATAAACTGTCCTGAAGTATTTTTATCACTCAACCACGCTTCTACAGTGTTATGACATTAAAACTTTACATTGATAGTACCAGTTGGCACCTGTTAACGATTTCCATTTAATTTAATGATGTACTCGTTTAAAAGATCAAATTCAAGATGATTGACAGAATTTGGAAAGGAATAGAGTCGTACTTCATTAAATCATCCAGTTTTTTGGAATATTTACAGACGATGACACGTTTAAAATTAGCAAAGCAATAATTCATTCAAATCACGATCTTAAGTGCAAAAAGTTCTAAACTGTAAAAAATACGCTATTATTATTATTATTAGATTTGTAAATTCTAACGGAATTACCGATCGTCTTAATCGTATAACTAAATCCACATTAGTTTCGATTAGATTAGGTTGCTTAAATTAAATAAAATAGATCGAATGAAGAGCAAACCGAATAGATTTGTACTTGGAGTGAAAATTAGTAAAACGGCATGAATATTTTTGACATTGTTTCGTAGAAGTTTACAAGAGTTCATTGACCTTTTCTCCAGAAGAGCCCCTTGTTACATGTCATAGTTTAAAGCATCCCAAACATTTCCATAATAAATATCTACTGGACAGAATGCCCATTAAAACCGTTTGCATATAAAAAATGCCAGAAAAAAACTCAATTAATAAAGATATAATGAACAGGATAAAAAAATTAATATATAAAAAAGTGTAATAAGAGCTTTTTCTTGCAGTTTTTAAGATAATAACTTTAGAAAATTTAAAACAAAATTTAAAAAAAAATAATTTTTAAATTATTTTCTTTAAATAGCGATTAATAAATATTTTTATATGCAATATAAATTCAAGTTTGTTAGTTAAAAATATATACAGAAGTAGGAAGTAATAAGCTGCTATAATAACTGAACTGCAGATAATTATGAGATTCCGGGATTTGTTTTATATCCCCTTTTATAACGTAGAAAGATTGTTTCAAGGTTTTAAAATTAAAAAAAAATGTATAATGTTTTTTAATATAAAAAATATATTTCGATATTTCGTTTCTATAGATAAATCAGTTCAGACTTTTAAGACTTAAATCCATATGTCAGCAGTTTTGATATTAAAAAAAAGTCGAGTTTTATGACTTATAAAAATAAGCGATGTCAAAGACCTTTCTGAAAATATTCACCATATATAATATAGGTGATAATTCGGTTAGTACAGATAAAATTTCGAATTATTCCAATGCAAGCTCAGAAAAAAATTAAATAAATAATATCCTAGTATGTAAATTCGATTATAAATTCAAATTTTCCGAGATTTTATAAAATAGGAAAATGCAAAAAAATAATAAAATTCATAAATATTTTTTTCGGTACCCCACTTTTTTCACTGGAAATATAAATTTAAATGTACATATTTTATGATTTTAAACGTTTACATAGAATTTATGGATATGAAATCGAGTTGTTTTGAAAATATTATTGAATCTCGTTAACTGTTTTTCTGTATGACGAATCCTTTAGAAATGCATAAATTTTTCTGTTTAAAAGAACTTATGTCAATATCTTATCCAATAAAAAGCAATGGAATTATTGAAAATTTTTATATAAAATTTACTACTTAATATTATAATTATCATACTGATAGATTGATTTGTCCTGGTTTCAGTACGATAAACCAATTTATTGCTTGCTCCAGTTCCACCTTTATCGTGTCTCTCTATTCCTATGACTATTCGTTTCTGATGATTTTTTTCCTTTTTGTTTTTCTTTTTAATCCTAGAGTCTTTTCCTTGCTTGGATGGTTTCCAATTCGGATGCTTTTTGCTTTGTTCTATGAAAGTAATTGAAGAACAACAACCCATCGTCGTTTAAAATAGTTCTAGAAATTTAATTAATGCAAAGATTAACCAAGAAAAATTAATTAATTATGTATAAATGATAACATCTATCGATCAGTATTCAATTCTAAACGTTTCAAATAGTAAACTTTTACCATTAGTACGTGTATTTAATATTTTAAATACAAAATATCGGATGTATTCGGAATGCTCTATTTGCTTTAATATGTCGAATTGTATGCAGTGCATGGAACGAAAAGTTTTACAGCACTTGATTTCCTTATCTAATTTCTAAATTAATTAATTCATTATAATTGCTTTTGATTAATTAACCTCGATAAACAAGACGTTTTGTTATTCAAAAGCATTTCGAGCTTTCGTTTTAATGGATCACCGCATAACCTTTATGATTATGGAACACCAACAGAGCAGAAATTCACATCTGTGTTTCGGATCATCGAAACTTTTTTAAGTTTTTCGTGAAAAAATATTTTAATTATTACTTAAAAGCGTCGTTTAACCCTTAAAGAGTATACAGAATAGAGAACAAACACGTGCTGTACCGGTTTGTAACTTTGTAGGCTGACTAAGTACGCCCTAGCTATTTTCTTTCCTTGCAAAACAATGTAAATAACACAAAAATAAAAATAAAAAATAAATTCTCAAATTTATAAAACGAATCACTAANAATAGCAGTATATTGGGCAAGTTTGTAAAGACAATTATCATGCCACTTTTAAATGCAAATTATGACTTAATGTTAATTGCTTTTCTTATTTAAATGAAAATTATTAATTTAAATAACTATTGTTGAAACCTGTTGCTATTTTAAGAAACAACAATACTGTTTTATTTAATTCACAAAAAATATAGACAAAAAGAATTGGGTTAAGTGGCAAGTAATATGGTGATAGAATGTTTACAAACACAATTTTAATTCATGTGACTTTTTCTGTGGAAATTTAATTATAGGTTCAAGTGTTTCATGAAATAAAAAAGGTTGAAAAACACTGGACTAAGCAGTAACAAAACAAAAATGTCAATACTTATCTTACTAGCCAGATAATATTATATAATGCAAAAAATGTTTATATATTTATAAATTATTCGGTTGCATCCCATGTAAAATATTCCTATTTTAAATATCTCATTCACTATTAAGATAAATATAAAAGATTAATATCGATTTAAGGCGAAACCACATATAACGAATTAAACTGCAAACGAAATATACGAGTTTTATTGTAGTTAGTAACTTATACAAGGAAACCAACTTTAATCGATCGTACGTAAACAAAGCATTCCGTGACTGCACTTAATTTATTCACTTCCAAGTTTATTTTTAGGTGTATTAAGAGATGTAAACATTGTCTTTGTGTATTTATCATTTAAATTATTATTATTGACAATTCGGCCTTTGAAAATGGCGACGTATCAGAAGTTTCCGTATCGATCGCAGTGCGCATTATATACGAACCGAAGTAAATTTTTTTGGAATTTATGAAAATAATCGATGACATTGTCCCACTAATCGCCTCCTTAATAATCGGGTCAAGTGATTCTTAATCGATTTCTCTGAACGAAATTGCTTACGGTTACTAATCGTAGCGCGAGGCTGCACACACGCGACACGTGACTGTTATCACGTCGCCAGAAGGCGCACGATACAAGCCAATGGGAGACGTCATAAACGGAGAAGGACCGATGAAAGCATGGTGAACTGCTACGCTGTTCGTCAGCTGTTTTGTCAAACATCTGGAGTAGAGTAAAGTATCTATCATGCACCAAAGCACGTAGCATTAATCTAGCAGACTCTATTCCGCATCGAACATGGCTGCATCCAAAGTTACGAGAGAGAAGCTAAGAAAAACTGGAAATTATCCAAGTAAAGAACCACCTACAAACGGCGAGAGAGAATATCGACTGGAAGATTTTGAATTACTCAAAACAATTGGTAAATTTTAACAATTGATCTTTTGTTTTTTTTTCCTTTTGTATCTTAATTATTTGGCACAAACAGGTGCCCGTCTTTACAGCTCACGTGACTCGCTAACGGGATAAGTCACGCTTAAAAAACACGTCCCCGTCGTTCTGTAAGACCTAAATTACACAATATGGCCCGTTATTCTACTTTTCTTTTAGAAGAAATATCAATTTCGCACTTAAACTCTCACGCGTTTGCTCTCTATTTATTTTAGTGTCTTAAGATGTACCCGAATTGTACTGTACACCAAGTTCAAGGTGAGATTGATTGATTTGCATTTTAAAACACAATCTGTCATCGATATAAGGTAACATAACACTAAAAACGGGAAACTAAAATATAACTGGTTATTTCCGCTTTCGACCCAGCTTGTATTAGGTTATTTTTAAATCGTCGTAGTCTAGCTTTTCTTTATATATTTTGGCTTAGGAATAAAATTAATATATTGTTGTATCTAATAAAAATATTGACATAACCTTGAACCGGAACAGAATTTATACAAATTGCTTCTTACAAACCAGAGAAATTTCTTAACAGTCTGATATTTTTATTCTAGAAAATTAATTTGAATTAAAGCCAGGTTTCTACTTTTAAAACAATTCACCTGGTTTCCATCGTATGACAAAGAGTTTGGCTGAAGTTCGGGTCATCGTCCTTAAGTATTTTACCAATTATAAACAATTGACATAAAAACATGTCTACTAATAATAACCGTACAGCACATCAATTACTTAATGCGATATTATCAGAGCAAAGAAAAAAGTGCGGTGTTAAAAGTTGATCGAACTTAAAAGCCCTCTTTTAATATGTAAATAAGTTATATATACATATATATAGAATAGCCCACACTAAAATTATCTAATTATTCAGACAAATATCAAGGTGTTTTTTTTTGTAGAAGTAATTAAGGATTTTGGCAATGTTATTTCTAAAGACGTGCCAAAATCCATAAACGGCACTTTGTAGGATTTTTAATAAAACTTTATTATTTTAAAACCAGCATTTATCTACCCAGAAAAATTGGCATGGCATAATGGTATCGAATTGTAACACTGTCAACAATGTGCCAAGTCTAAAGTTGGAATTTTGGCCACGCGTCACGCTACACCATCCAGAATACAGCGTATTCTAAAATAAATTATTAAAATCCCCAGGAAAGATTTTATTTTTACAGCTTAAGAACAAAGCTATCATTTTCTAAGCATTTAAAATAAATTATCCCTCTTTAATTTCGCCTTTAAGAAACAGGGTTAAAGTCGTTTAACCGGCTTTTAATAATTTACGCGCGTGATGCTAAAATTACTTCGTTTTTTGGTGCCGAATTTATTTATCTATGGCCCTAATATCTGTAGTATATCTTGCGTGAAACGAGAAACTATCAATTGTTTACATAGAACGTGAGAAACTCATCTTGACAACGTGCTTTAATAAATCTTCACTCACCAGATTCTGCTTGGCGCGTGATCGGCTGACGTCACAGGGAGGGGTGATAATAGCTTTCGAACAAGGGTAATGTTTAATTTGTATCTCCGATTTAAAACGAGCCAAATGGGACAACGTATGCAATTGATGCTAAGATAATACTATCACTAACACTACTTAGTTTAAATGTCAGACTAATTCGTAGTGTTAATATTGTTCATAATTTGACGTCAATGTGACGTCGAGTTTATTTTTATATAGATTATTATTTTTAATGTTATTTATAGACTTCCTGTAGATATTTAATTAGAAAAAAAATTTAAAAATGGAGCATTATTTATTTATTTATTTTTATGCAAATTGCGAGTATTTAAGAGATGAAATTTAATTTTCAGACACTTCAAAAAATTAAATCAAATGTTTAAAAAAATCTGTTAATTTGCTTGCCAAACATCCGAAAAGTAATTTTATTAGATTAATTAATTTCTGCAGAATCTTTCAAAACTTTAATACCATTAAATTGTTAGAATTTCTGTAAAGAATCGTTATTATTATTATTATTATTATATTTTGGATTTATGCATTGAATTAATTCTATTAAATCAAATTTTGTGTTATAAAATTAAATTAGTAGAAGTGATTCATTTGTTAGAAATTTAACTTACAATATAACTAATTCTAATTTTATCATTTTTGTACTGTTTCAAGTGACTGTTTTTAAAAAAAGTTTTAAACAGAAACTCCCTCCCTGAAAATTTTCAATTCTGCTAATGTATTAGAATACTTTTAAAACTTTTTATTATAATTTATTCCAAGAATTAATTGTAATTACTGAGATTAATTCTGTTAAAGTAATTGGTTATAGTAGGATAAATTTCAACATGATTTTTCTTGAAAATTTATAGGAAAAAAAATTCTATATTTGCCCTAGAATTTATTTTTCCATTAGTTCCGTCGATGTTAGTTGGAAATAGAATCAGATGCGTTCCAAATCACCTTTGTTCAGGGTCAGTTCTGGGTTAGTGGGTCACCAAACTTGTTATCTGTCTACTTTTTACTTTCAAAATAGAATTACTGTCTTTACAATTTGTTATATACACTTAAAACGGAGACGTTTCTTACAGGAAGTTGTTTGGCCTACCCCGTCTTTTACAGTTAATAAAAGAGGGCATAACATTTATTTGTCTGTGATAATAAACTTGTAATTTGTGTTGAAATAAAGATTTAGAGGATAAAAATAAAAGGACGATAAGTGGATAAAGTTTTAGAAATTGGGAGCCAGCATTGAGCGTTCTGGAAGGATTGAAGGTTGCTGGAGTTATCGATAATATTAATCAATACTAAAGTCTGTTTAGAGAGTGTATTTTCGGGTCTTAACAATTGGAAAATTATCAAATTTAACGGTTTAAAATTTTATTTATCGTTTTTATAGCCTACAACTAATTTCAAATTAACTGTCTTTCATTTATGAAGAGTATTCAAATAATAATAATAAAAATTGAAAAGGGGACAATAAAAATCAGCATAGCCAGTTCGATCGTGTGTGTTGGTTGTTATGACAACGGTCGTCGAACTTTAGGAGAAACTCAACCACTCTTCTCCTTATTGTTGGCTTTTCCATTTGGAAATAGTTTATTCCATTTAATTTCGATAAACAAAAGAAAAAAAAGTTATTATTTGACTTAGAATATTGTTCTAGAGAATCGAGAAGAGGGGGAAATCATTAAAACAGTGTATTTATTTTACCGTGTTCTTTGTGTATTTGAAACAACTTGGATACAGTAGAAAAATGGCATAAACTTGGAAGTTTTGACAATCGGTCTGTTATAGGTTTCTGCAACTAGTCCTTGCCAAAAATTTATTTAGAGTTCTGAGATAGAAAAGCTTTTGTTTCGTCCTGTCTTAACAGATAGATAAATCTTTTTTATGTTTTTTAAAATAGGAAAGGAGTTTGGAAAACACACTCGAAAACAAGTTTACCAACCTTTATGTCTACTTTATTAGAATTTAGGTGGGTGATATCGCGTGATTATGCATGATTCCTGGGTCCCACACATCAAAAAAGGATAAAATGTCAAGCAAGCAGATGGTGCGTATCGCGCCCACCTACACGATCTTGATTCGGTTTGAGACTATTTATCAAGGTCAAAAAACATCCATGACTATAATATATAAGAAGGAACAACGGAATAGAATTGGTACCACCATTTTGAAAAACGAAACTAATTTAAACAATTCAAACGTATGAAAAAAAATCGATTGATTAAACATTATTCGATTCTCCTTAAGTAATTAGTTTTCGGAGTATCAAATTCTTTTAAATATAAACTTATATAATCATTAAAAGAAAACAAAACGAAATATATCTATAATCTCAATAAGAAATTTAAAAATCGATTCGTCATTTCCTTTATAGTAAACGTCTCTTCCGTTTACCCAAGCTATTTTTAATCGAAACTAACTTTGGCAATTCGCCCAAGGATGACATTTTGACAAATCTTTCCACCACCGAAAGTAACGCTATTGACATTACCGACGCATTTATGAATTTGCAAATTGTCCACTTCGTGCCTCTCCACTATGCAAAACTCTTTGTAAATACCGACAAACTTTCTCCAAAAATAAAACTGCAAACCTGCACTGTTCCTAAATTACACTTTTCTTTTTAATAATTCAAATTGCGTTTTTCTTTCTAAATAAAAGGTGCCGAATAAAATATTAGAGGGGGAAAACAAACAAAAATTGCTTGAATTTTGTCACAATTTAATGCCATAAAACGTACAGAAGAACGAATTTACGACTGTCACTGACCTCCTATTTTTATTATTGTGTGAAAGTGAGTGCATTGTTGAGTTTCTGTAAATAGTTTCCGCAGGATTTTTATATATTCTTTTGCTTGCCAAGTGTGAAAGATTTGTATTTTCAGCACAAAAATCACGAGTTTCTTTTACGGAGATGTGCAAAAACATAATTAAACTTTATATTATTATTTTTTTTTTTTAGGAACTGGTACGTTCGGTCGAGTATGCTTATGTCGCGATAGGCTAAGTGGAGGTTACTGTGCTATGAAAATCCTTGAGATCGCTGACGTCATTAGATTAAAACAAGTGGATCATGTGAAGAGCGAAAAGACCATTTTAATGCAAGCCAAGCATCCTTTCATCATTGACCTGTGAGTAACCTAATTTTAATGTTTCATTTTTTTCTTTTAATTGTGAGATTATTTACAATCTGGTTTTTCAGGATGTGGACAACTCACGATGATTATCGTCTGTACATGCTCTTCGAATATGTTTGTGGAGGAGAACTTTTTACGTACTTAAGAAACGCGGGGAAATTTAGTAATTCGACTGCATCATTTTACGCTGCAGAGATTATATTAGCTTTACAATATCTCCACGATCATAATGTGGTATACAGAGATTTAAAGCCCGAGAATTTGCTGTTAGATAGAGACGGACATTTGAAAATTACGGATTTCGGTTTTGCAAAGAGGCTCCATGACAGGTTTGTTTAAATTAAAACAGCATATGCTGTATATGAACGCTTCTTTTCCATTTTAATGATGATATTCCTTCAAGGACATGGACGCTTTGCGGAACGCCGGAATACTTAGCACCAGAGATAATACAGAGCAAGGGACACAATAAAGCAGTCGATTGGTGGGCACTGGGAATTCTTATATACGAAATGCTAACAGGGTTAGATATTTTCCTAATAAAAATAATTAATTGTTAACGTTTGAAGATTGATTTTAAATTCTATATACAGTTATCCACCTTTCTTTGATGATACAGCATTTGCTATTTATGAAAAAATATTAGCTGGCAAAATAGAATGGCCTAAACACATAGATCCAGTCGCTAAGTAAGTTTTAGTTTTTATGTATTCTAATAATGTTTATCTTTTACATTATAAATGCATTTTATTACATTTTTATGACAGAGATCTTATCAGAAAGTTATTAGTTAATGACAGAACAAAGAGACTAGGAAGTATGAAGGTAAATAAACTGTTCTGTACAATATGTTTCCATGAATTAACTTTATATAAATGCATTTTAAAGCACTATTTAAAAATATAGAACGAAGCTGAAGACGTAAAGAGGCACAGATGGTTTAAAGGGACTGACTGGGATGATGTTTATTATAAACGTTTAAAGGTATGTTGTAAAATATTTATTTCATAAATATTTTATGTTTGAGAATGTCTGGTGGTGGGACTGTTTCATTTCTACTGTTTTTTTTTTTCTCTTCTCTCTCTGTTCACTGCAGCCTCCTATTGTACCAAAAGTGTGTTTTGATGGTGATACACAAAATTTTGAAGAATATCCAGAAGGAAATAAAGATCGTTCTACATCGTTAAGTGAAGAAGATTTAGAAATATTTAGAAACTTTTAATAAAATAAAAGTTGGACCTTTTACAAACTGAAGATTAAAGTTATGAGAAGGGGAAAGAACAAAACTGCAGCTATTGCAAATTTTTTTTTATCTTTTAATTTCTTTCTTTTGTTCAACTGTTACTAAACTGTAGTCAAGAAAGCAAATCAGTTTAGGAAAATATTTATTTAAAAATAATTTTTTGTAAACTTGTTCTTTCAGCCTCCAATAATCCCAAGAATTCGTCACGATGGTGACACTCGTTACTTTGACGGATACGTTCAGAGGAAGTTGAAATTAATTTTAGAAAAACCAAGTGAGAGAGATATAGAACAATTTTATGATTTTTAATGAATCTCAACACTAAAACTTCTTAAAATTTTTCAAATAAATTTTGTTTATTTATTCTGTTTTTGATATAGCTTAACTATATAAATTTCCACTGCCAAGTACAATAAATTTTAAAAATTCCAATTTAAACAGAGCAATGTCTCATTTAAAATAGAATAAATGAAAATTTCACTAACATTTTATAATTTTTTTTTGTTTTTTTGTCATATCACTTAAATAAAAAGGGTGAAGACTAGAATTTTGAATTTTAAATATGACTGGATATTTTGATAGGACACCAATATGTAAATAGGAAACTGTTTTTGAAAAATAGTAGTTTATGTAAATACTGATAATTTTGCAAATACTAGTCCAATGTAAATGTAGTTTAAATAAATTGTTTCTCTTGCAAATGTGCATTGTTTTCAAAATAAATTTTCAATTTATAGTTTATACAAAACTGTAATAAACAATTCTAAAATAGTAAAATCAAAGCCTTCAAAAACAACTTTTATAAATAGGAAAATAATTTTTTAAATTATATTAATCTGGTAAAATTAGCTGAGATTATCAAAATTTAAACTGTTTTAAAGTTAAAAGTCTTTCATTTAATTGAAGTAGATTAAACTTAATTGTAGGGCAATTCTTAACTGCTGGCAATAAAACAAAAATGCAACAGTAATTGTTAAAGAGTATTTAAAATTAGTTATCTTAAAAGTTGTCAGAGTAATTTAAACTATTTAAATTTGGATTTAAAAGTGAATTAATTTTGAGTTTTAATGGTGAAAACATTTTGCATTAATTTGTTTAATCAAAATATTAATTCTAGAATCCTTTACAATAAGAAATTGGAATGGCTATTCTTATTCATGCCTTTTCTTCATTTGAAACTTTGCATGATAAAATTATAAACTTGATTAATTTAATGAGAATCTATATTGTAATCGAGTACTTCTAATATTCTTTATCATATGTTAATTACATAAAAATATATTTCTACTAAATATAAATAGCCAAATATATATTTAAAAATAGTAATTTTATATGTATAAAATACAGTTTAAATAAACTTTTATTATAAATTAATAAATGTTCATTTATATAAAGATATTGTCAATTTTTCAAATCTTAATACAACAAAATCTTTAAAAAATTTTCAAATTTCTTATTTTTCATCTAATCTTAATAATTTAAATCAATATGTAACTGGTTTAGTTCTTTACTAAGTAGAAAGATCATAAATGAATAAAGGCAACAATGATTTAAATAATGAAATGTAATAAAAGAGAGAATAAATTTATAAATTTAAAATTATTATGAATTACAACTTAATAATTTAAAATGTGTGAACAAAAATCACTAAAATAAAATTTTACTTCTCTTTATATTAATAATTAGGCAATTATTTAATATTTAAACGTTACTTTATTTCTTTATAAAAAAATAACTTTATTTACATCAAGTATTTCATGAAAAATTTAATTTTTTTATTTTTTACTTGATATTAAAATATTAATGAATGAACTTGACAAAAACTCACTTTTTTGTGAGTTATTTCTTCAAAAACTGCATGTGGTGTGCAATATGATCACTGATAAAAGATGAAATGAAATAGTAACTATGATCATAACCCTGAAATAAAAAAGAAATTATTTAAGATTTATATAACAAGTTTTTCAAACTTGACCTATTATTTTCACTTTTTTACTAATTAAATTATTTTATTATTATAATATTCATTACTGAAATACAATGAATTGGTAACAAAATTTATTCACTTAGCTTATTTTTTTAATATGATAATTTTATTCAGAAATATAGACTACAAAATTCAGTTATGTTAAATTTCTTGGAAAAAAATTACTTATAGAAAAATAATATACAAAAATATAACAGAGAATAAACAAATATAACTGAAATCATATTTATCTATGCAAAATTAAAAATTATTTTGTTTTTTTTAAATATTTATGGTAATCAATATAATTAATAATCTCATTCCTGTCTAAATGTTCTATCTACAAACAGTTGTTACTATTAAACTTCAGTTAATACTTCAGGTTTTAATTCACTAATAATTTCATATGGTCTCTATTCCATCTTATTAAAACAATATATTCAGCTAATTCTGTATACATTTTACTTCTGAAAACAAATACAAACTAAAGATATCTTTTTCTGACAATTACTTCTATCTTAATATAATTTATGATCAGATAATTCATGGTAACTTCTGTTCCATTCTATTCACTACATTTTTATTTCACTACCATTGCTATTATTTTTTATAATTAACCCCTTGCCGTCATAATAATTCTTCATAACATGTTGTAGCTATGTGATTTAAGAATATACTGTACAGATCTGATCAGATGTAATCTCTCTAAAAATTCATTTATAATAAAAATTGTGAGCAAGGGGTTGACAGTTTATTTACCTTGATATCTTTGTGTTTTAAACTTATGAAGAAAATACTAATTTAATAAATATAAATATATACAGTATATATATAAAATAAATATCATTAAATTCTACAAAAGTAGCATCTGAGTTTTAGTTTGATTAATCTAAAATAAATTCTATAATCAATCTATAGCTTTATAATACTTAAATTAAACAATTTAAAATTTTAATATAATCTACATAATTAAATATATTAATATATTTAACAATTTAAAATTTTATCAAATATTGAATACTTGTCATATGAAAAAGCTGTTGTTAAACAATAGTAATAAAAAAATAAATTTTCTAATACTAAGAGAAAATAAATATATTGTAGATTTAATTTAATTGAGAAGTATATAGAAGCAAATGCTGAAAGAAAAAAATCCAAAAGATTTGTAGTAGTTAAAAGTAATTTACATCAAATCCATTCAAAAGTTGTTGAAAATTTTAAAATTCAAAAGAAACTTTGTATTCTCCATAAAAAATCTAAAAAACACAAAGATTTCTACAAAATATTATTTTAGATGTTTTATTCAAAAATAAACAACTTTCAAAATATTTTTGATAATCATGAATAAATTAACTAAACATGTTATTAATTGCAAATTTAAAAAGTTTATTTTTGTTCTTAGTATTTTAAAATTTATTTCACAATGAGACAGCAATAAAACTTTAATTAATATATTAGAATGTATATCTAAATTTTTAGTGATCAACAAAAAATAAAATTGTTGCCTTTATTCTCTTCAATTTTTATATGTTTATCAACATGCACATTTCTAACGGACATTCAATCCTCTCTCTCTCTCTCTTTTGTGTGTTTTATTGAATTATGTACTACTTTATCAAAAATATTTAATGTTTCAATTCTTCTGATACTTTCTCCTAAGTTCATACTCTTTTCATTTCTGCATCATCCCAAACATCTTAACATATGAATATATATTAAAATACTTGAATTGTATCATTAATACTCTGCAATAGCATATTTCTATTGAATATAAAAATTACTATTCAGTACAGCATGAGAATATTTCACAATAATTTCACAGAATGCTTGGAATATGGTATTCTTAGAATCAGCTGGACAATATAATCCATAAATATGTAACAATAAATATTAATTTAATATAATGTGATAAACTTATAATTACATACTGAATACAAATGAAAGTGATTCAAAAGATGACTATATTAACTCCAAATGACTATAACAGTAACAGACAAAAACAGTATTTAAACAATTGACACCATAATTTATTGAGTACAGGTAACTCCCGTATAACACAGCACTTCTATAGCACGAATTCACTCTAACACGGTTCGAGAATTGGTACCATCCCCCGTATAACACGGTACTTTTATAGCACGGATTTACTCTGACACGGTTCAAGAATTGGGTAAAACCCTCGTACAACAAGAAATGTAATAAATTTTTACATATTTAAGTAATAATAGTTCACGAAAATTCGTGAACTATTAGTACTTAAGTATGTAAATTTTCTCTTCTCGCCTTCTGTCGATACACGTGGTCCTTCTCGAAACTTGTTTCAATGTTGCCAGATCGCGACGCTTCTGCTTCTGATGTTGCCGAATGTTTTTCCCTTATTCCATACTTGCTTTATTCTTCATAAGTGCTTAGCACCATATAAGGAAATTTATAAAGACCTTTTAACTAGAAGCAAGCAATCTAAAATTACATACATTTTGCAAAAGGTAAAGCATGGATCTGAAGATAATGCAGAAAAATGCTCAGAGGATAAGGATAACTTGCCAAAAAGAAAACGCTCTCGGTTAATTAATAGTGTTTTTAGTGATGACGAAGAAAACATTGTTTAATTTATATTAATATGTATCACTTAAAAAAATTTTAATGAAGATATTTATCTTAATTATGAAAATATACTAGCATGTTTTTTAATTTTTAGAACCTAACCCTCCTTTTCATATTAGTTCTTTGTTTCGTATAACATGGATTCGCATAACACGGCAATTTTTTGGAACGTAACTACCGTGTTATACGGGGGTTACCTGTAGTTACTGTATTTTTATATCTCCTCACTAAGAATTTACTTAATTTCTTAAAAAACAATTATTTACAAATATAAAGACTTAACTACAAAAATCCAGCAACAAGTTACATAACTTTCTTGGCATTCAACATTCAAACTGTGCACGATGCTATCTGTTATGTGATTTTATTAAACTGTTTTATATTATTAATTATTATAAAATGGCAAAAAGATTAATTTTGAAGGCAGAGATAAGTTTTATAAAAAATTATAAATGCTAATAACAAGTAAATCTTAATTAAGTCCAACCCCACTTGAGATATGACACATGGCCCCCCTCTATATCTTCTACATTTAATAGAATCAATCCTATAAAACACAAACCTCTTGAAAAAATTTCAGAAATTTTTGACAAAAGGCACAGGAGTTAAGCTTCAAAGTATGTGAATAAAATTGTGCCTCCAATCAAACATCCATACATACTGAAACTTTTTTTGCATTTCTTGATGTTTCAATTCTAAAACTATAAAAATCTTGAAGGGATCATTTTTTGACTGATTGCCATGCTTTCCTTCTGTTATATATAAAGGCTGGAATAGTAAAAATAAATTTTTGAAGTCTGTTGAATGTCCATGCACTTCACTGGAACATAATCAACATTAGTGGAGTTGACCTTTCTTAAAGGCTACTTTCCCATATATATGCAAATTTTAATCTTTATTTCACAAAACAGTTATTGTTTAAAAAATGTTTATACTTAAGCACATTTTTTATATATTAACTTAAAATCACCAGGATTATTATCATTATGCATTTTGTACAACTAATGTAATACAATGCCAATGCATTATAATGAGGCTGTCCAATAGTGGCATGCTGGCCACATCTAAACCAAAACAGAATTTTGTGGCTTGCAAATATCTTAAAAAAATCATTAAAAACATTTCATATTT